CGCGGGTCGGCAGTTCACAGCGCGAGTGTCTGGGGCAGGCCGCCCAGGGCGAGCAGAGCGGAGGCATCCCCCGTTCCCGCTGGAGGCTGGCGTGCGTGGGGGCGAGGCTGAGTGCACCCAAACGCGGGCGCGCCCTGCCAGGGAGGCAGCGGCGAATTGACAGCTCAGCTGCGTGATTCTTGCTTTAGGGCAAATTCTGTCATAAGCAACACTTTGAGTTTCCTCCCTGTGTGTGGTGCATTTCATAATCTCCCCTTGTTGTTGGGCGTGTAATAATCATCATACCGAAATAATTATTATTTTCTGGGACAATAATAAAACATGCTAGGTCACTAATATGTAGGTTGCACAGCTGATGATTAACTACCTTTGTGTGTAGAAAGTTACTTTGAAGGGTGGAAAACGCTCTCTGTCACCAGGAGCCTGGAGCAATTGAGGAGCTCCATAGCCCTGTGTAAATGTGGATTTCGTGTTCATGCAGCCATCTAGGTAGTCACCTCATTTACAGTATTATGTTTTAATTTTCATTGTAACTTCTGTGTGGTTTAGACCACTTCCCCTATTTCAAAGTTTAATAAAGTATGAGACAGAGGGAATAATAACTTTGGGCCAGATGTAGAAAGGTTTTTAACTACCTAAAGATGCAGGTGTAGGGCCTAATAGTACTTCAGTAGGTTAGACGCCTAACTCCCAATTAGGAGCCTAACTCACTTAGCATACTTGTGTAATATGATAAAAGACCTACCTCATGCCTGTTATGCTGATCAGCAGGCCTAATCTGTGAGATTATAAAATGTCTGTGTAGAGAGGAGGGTATCCTAGCTCAGGCTCTAGCCTGAATGTCTACACTGCAATTTTTAGCCCTGCAGTTTAACCTTTACAAGCCCAAGTCAGTTGACCAAGGCTCTGTGACTTGGTGCTGCACGTTTTTTATTGTAGTGTAGATGTAATCTTAGGTGCCGCCACCTGATTTTTCAAAAATGCTAGCCTACATTTTTAGGAGATGATATACCTTTATAAATTCTGGCCTTTTCCTCTACATATGTGCTATATCTAAAGTCAATAATTTTTAGATGGTTGATGTGTTTTATTTACTTGTCTCTAGGTTGAGCCCTTCAAAATGTTGTCTTAAATTTGAGCTGCAACTTCCAGAAAAAAAGTATATATAATAGCAGGCACTGTCCTGTTTCAAATTAAATTAATAGTATTGCTTTAATACAGAATAAAGAAATACAGTAAAAAGAAAATTCAGTGATACACATCTTAATTGTGGATTTTTAAAATACTGTCCTGATTGTGATTTGAGATGGAATGAATGAATGATTGTTTTGATTTGGTTATAGAAAAATAATTTCAAACAAAACACCTTTTTTATCAGTCTTTCTCACCAAAAGTAAAGAAACAAAAAATACGTGTATAATAGGTCAAAACAAACAAGATTGCCAATCTGAAGTAGAAAAAACACTTTGTTTTAAACACAAATGTTGAAATGAAATATTGAAACTTTTTTAAAAAAACATTTTTTGTTAGAGTATCTTCCATATTTGTAAACTTGTGGTGCCCTGATAAATTCATATTTTGGCAAATTTACCACTTGCTGGGGAACAGAATTTGCCCAGTCTTAATAAGTCATGCAAGGTATACTGAGGAATATGATGAGTGATTTGTTTTTATTGTTATGTTTTTCCTCTTCTATCTGTTGGTAAGTAGTTGATTATCTAAAATGACCTCCTTTTTTATTTCCAGGTGCAAATTATAATCTTGAATAGCAACTACAATGGGAGATGCTACAAAATCTTCTTTTGCCAAAAGAAAAAAGGAATGGGGAACTTTAGATGAAGAAGAGTTAAAGAGGAACCCTGTACAACAAGACTATCAAGCCATGGATGATTACGGACATGGCAACAAAATAGATATAGGCTTTCAGAAGAAAAAGGGAACACCAGGTCACTATGGAAACAGTCCCAGAAAAGGACCACACAGCATTGTGAATAGCTCAAGTTCATTTAAAAACATGGGTCACAGCCAAGGGGTAAGAATAAATGATAACCAAAAAGACCAAATTAAGAAGTGGATATCTGATGACTACCGTGGCAGTTCAGACAGCTGGAGAGAGTTCAAATCTACAGTACGGACGCCTGTATTTAACAGGACAAGAAAAGACTCTTTCCATGAGGGTGAAGGTGCAGGAAACAGAAATGTAAGAAGACAACTTCAGAAAGACTTAAATGAAGAAATGTCAGACACAGTGAAAGGAAACTCTGGTAATGAACACAGTTTTTTACATAGTTTTAAAAGTAAAATTAATTATTACTTTTATGTCAGGAAAGTACAACTATAAGGTTCTCTGTTGATGCAAAAAATAAATAACCATTTCTGTTCCATAACACTTCTGTCTTGCAAAGTATTGACTGTACTCAAAAGCAGCATTTTAAGCGGTATTGTTATACCATCTGGTATAAGGATACATAGCATGACTAAATTAATTTATCAAACCAACAAGATATTTTATTATCTTAATCTACTATATATTGGACAGAGTTTGTCTGTCTATTTGTTCAATAACTCCTAAGCTGTAAGAGGTAGGACCACCAAATTTGGTATACAGATTCCTCTTATCATAACTTAAAGCAAGATTAGGGTTTAGTTAGGTCAAGAAAATGGGATGTGCTGAAAATAGGATTCCTTCTCATAAAACCATACAGCAATGAGACAGAATCACCAAGCAGGTGAAAGGGACTGGCTGGGACTGCCCCAGCCCCAAGCTTTCCACCCCCCCATGCTCCTTTTTGGGAGGCTGGGGGGGAAGGAAGAGGGCTGAAGCTTTATTTTTTCTCCTCCTCTCCCCAGTTTGTATGGGGATATTACTGGCTGTTCCCCTTTGTCAGGGAATGAGGGGAAAGAGCAGTTTGCTGCATTCATAGACCTCAGGAGGTCATCAAGTCCAACTCCCTGCCCAAAGCAGGACCAATCCCAACAGCCCCAACCATCCCCATTCCTTACTTTGGCTGGGGAGCTCAGGGGGCAGATGAACTTGGAACTTCCCTGGTCAGGGGACATGCACCTCTGTCCTGGCTGTGTCCACTGGAGCTGCAGCATCTGTGAAGAGGCACTTCTCCCCTGGTGCCAAGCTGCTGGGGTAGTTCTGTCTCCCCAGGTCAGCCTGCATACTGAATCCCACAGTCCCAGCCCCCCTCCCGCAAAGCAATTATTTAAATAAAGCATGTATGTTTTCATTTTCCAAAAAATAAAAATTTAATTAAGTACCCAAGTATTGCCGAGTAAATCTTCTAGTCTCTTTATAACCCAACCTCAGGAAGATTCTTACCAACAACCACAGGACATACCACATTAATACCAACCCTGGAACTTTCCCTTGCAACAAACCCCGTTGCCAACATTGTCCATATATTTACTCTGGTGACCCCATCACTGGACCAAACCATGTCAGTTATATGATCAAGAACACATATTTCTGTTCATCCGGAAATATAATTTATGCCATCATGTGCCAACAGTGTCCTTCTGCTATGTATATTGGACAGACTTCTCAGACACTTCGCTGAAGAATTAATGCCCACAAATCAGACATCTTTGCAAGGAAAAACCAGTTGCTTTTCATTTCAACCTACCTGGACATAGTCTTAACGACCTTACTACATGCATCTTACTTCAGAGACTTTAACACAAGATTACAGAGGGAAACTTCAGAACTTTCTTTCATGCTTAAATTTGACACTTTACAAATGGGCCTTAACAAAGATGCTAATTACCTTAAGCATTACAAAGATACTTCCCCACTTATCACCCCTTATTAGCCATTGTATTCCTTTGGTATATATGATTATGCCAATTCTCAGGGCTCGCCAAACTGCGGCAAGCCCCACTCGCCAGCTGCGCTGTTCGGCGATCTGCGCATGCGCAGATCGTTCTGTGCATGCGCAGATCGCCTGAACCCAGCTCTTCCGGGTTACAAGCTACTCGCCACGGGCGAGTAGATTGTATAATTTGTTGAGCCCTGCCAATTCTCTTCCAGAATATGATCTGAGGAAGTGGATCTGGTCCACAAAAGCTCATGACCTATTAAGCCATCTTGTTAGTCTTTAAAGTGCTACATAATTTTTCCTTTTATAATTGTTAGACACGTATAAAGCAATAGGTTTGATATCTCAGTCTGCAACTTTAATATTCTATATTTTTCCATTTCAAACTTCATATAAATCTTTCCAGTCTTCAGACACTGTTGAAGAAGTTGCATAACCAATTGATATTATTTGCTGCAAGATCACATAATAAACTTAAACACAACTTGTTCAGTAAATATGCTAAACAAGTGAAAAGGAAATGGGAATAAAACAAAGTGGAAAATGGCAAACTTAGTATGTTGTTTTCTCATGCAGTTAACTTCTATACATGTTTCAATTCGTAACTTTAAAACAATTATAAAAGCCTTTCATTATTATATGAAATAGGACTCTGTCATGGAAGGTTGGAGGTATTCTGATTTGAAAAGAAACTTTGCTTCCTGAAAGAAGAAAACAGTAAGATTCACGCTATAGAGATGTATTCACCAGTCTTGGCCTAAAGTGTTATTCTGAGAGTGCATGGCAAGTAGAGAAGCACTAATTTGGAAGGTGATATACTGTACACCACATGTTTAGAAACGTTTTAATTTTTAAAGTAACTATGAATAACTGACTTGTCTCCATTCTTCACTTACTCCATCCCTCAAAAAAAGGTGTGTATATTTTTGGGATGTTAGCATGTTGTTGTATACATGATTAACCGATAATCCTGTTTTTGTTGGTTAATCCTAATGAATACACGCACTCTCACTCGAGCTGCCTCTTAAGCCAGTTCCTCATGATCCTGCCTCTCCCTCTCCCCTGCACCACGCTGCTGCCTCTGTGGGAGGCAGTGGGATGGGGGAGCCAGCTTTTAAGCTCCTGCCTTCCTCCACCCCATGTGTGAATGTGTAACTGCTGAAAATTTCAGGGGTTACATGTTCGCAAAAATAAACATTTGCTAACATCTCCAGGAGGTTGATCTCTAGCCATTCTGTTTCATCAAATTTTTGTGATGGGAAGATTTGTAATGCCATTGCACAGTGCTAGGGAGTGAGAACTAGAATACCTTGATAAAAAGGAATTTTGTTAACTTGGTATATGATAGGCTGTGTCCAGACTCGGGTTTTTTCGAAAAAAGTAGCCATTTTTCAAAAGAACTTCACCTGCGTCTAGACTGCAGCCGAGTTCTTTCGAAATTAAATCGAAAGAATGCGGCTTTTCTTTCGACGGCGGTAAACCTCATTTCATGAGGAAGAACGCCTTTTTTCAAAAGTGCTCTTTCGAAAAAAGGCGTTCTTGAATGCCAACCGGGCTTTTTAGAAAGAGAGCATCCAGACTCACTCGCTGCTTTCTTTCGAAAAAGCGACTTGCTTTTTCGAAAGTACTGCTTGCAGTCTAGACGCTCTTTTTCGAAAGAGGCTTTTTCGAAAGATACTTTCGAAAAAGCCTCTTTCGAAAGAGGCTTGCAGTCTAGACATAGCCATAATGTTTTGTGTCTGAAGATATATATGAGGTGACTGACAATATAAAAAGGTGAGAATGCCAGTAGTGGGTCAAACCAGTGGCTCATCGAATCCTGGTTCCTGTCTTCCGACTGGTAGCTGATGCTAGATGCTTCAGTGGGAATGAACAGAACAAGGCAGTTATCGAGTCCTCTAGTGCCAGCTTCTGGCAGTGTGAAGTTTAGACTCACCCAGAACATTGCATTACGTCCATGACCATTTTGGCTAATTGCCATTGATGGACCTATCGTCTGTGAACTTATTCTTTTTTGAACCCAAAAGGAAAAACTATGTAGCACTTTATAGACTAACAAGATGGTTTAATAGGTGATGAGATTTCATGGGCCAGACCTACTTCCTCAGATCATATTCTGGAGGAGAATTGGCATGACCATATATACCAAAGGAATACAATGAAAAAAGTGAACACATGATTAAACTGACAAATCAGATTTAGTACAGAAGGTGGGGTCAGGGGGAGGGAAGAAGGGAATAGCTATTTGAGTCAATGAATGGCTAATCAGGGGTGATAAGTGGGGAAGTATCTTTGTAATGCTTAAGGTAATTAGCATCTTTTTTAAGGCCCATTCGTAAAGTGTCAAATTTAAGCATGAAAGAAAGTTCTGAAGTTTCCCTCTGTAATCTTGTGTTAAAGTCTCTGAAGTAAGATGCATGTAGTAAGCATGAACCCAGTTATACTCCCAAATCCAGGACTCTCTGGTCTGGTAACATCCATGGACCAAAGAGCTCTGGAGGAGGGAGCAGGAATCAAACAGAAAACACAGGAGTGGGAGCCTTGGTTAGACCAGGGGGTGGCTGGGGAGCCGCAGTTCGGCTGTGGAACAGCTGGCATGAGTGGAGCCAGGTGGGGCCAAAGAACTCCTAGTATTAGCGTGACCAGGCAGCAGCTGAGGATCCCCTACCCTGGCCAGGGAGCCCCTGGTGTCAGCTGGGCCAAGTGGTGAATGAGGAACCCCTGCCCTGGCTGAGGAACTCATTGCAGCAACAGGGGCTAGGCGGCAGCTCGGCAGTCCTGGGCCAGGGAACCCCCAGTGGGAGCAGGACTGGTCCTGGCAGTGGGGCCAGTGGCACCCAGGTGGCTCTGGCCAGGGAACTCCCTGGCATTATCTGGGTCCGGGAACCTGGGGAATTCCTAGCAGCAGTGAGGCTGGGATGGCCAAGCAGCCAGAGAACCCCTAGTGGCAGCGGGGTGGACAGCTTCAGAGCTGGGCTGTTGGTGGCTGGATGGCTGGGAACCCTGGTAGCAGTGGAGCTAGTGCAAGATGGGAGCCTCAGCCTTGGGAGCACAGGAGTGGGGCAGCCAGTAGCGGAGCATTGACCTTCCCTGGTCCGGCAAACTCCCTGGTTTAGGACCGCTCAGGTCCCGAGAGTGCTGGACCAGGGAGATTCAACCTGTATTGATTGTCACATTGTTCCACAGGTTGACTGTGTATTGTGAGATGAATACTTCCTTTTGGTTGTTTCATTGGTTGACCTCTAGTTTTTATGGTATGTGAAGGGGTAAATAAGACTTCCTAATTGACTTTCTCCACAGCATTCGTGTTTTATAGACTGCTCTTATATCCTCGTTTTATATTTCAGTATAGGCAAGGTTAAAGTTGATGACTGCAGGTACTAAGAGGGTTTAATGAAGTACCAGTATGAGAGAGATGGAATAGTTATGTAAAAACTAGAGAGAGAAAATATGGAGGAAAATGAGATTTGAAGAGGTAGTAAAATACATTTGAGATTTAGCAGGATGATTTGGAACATTCCTACAGAGAAGGTCAAAAGAGTTTTTTGAGTTATTGAAGTTGCAAGTAGGAGGTATGTATGATGGTTTTTGGGCTGGGGGTTGTTTTTGTTTAAATTGGATGTTTGTCTTTTGGCCCTTAGCTGAAGCTGTCTTTCAAATATTTTTAAGAAAAAGCACATTTGTGCCATAAAACAAATGCATAAGTGACCAGTAAGAAATTGTTTCCCTTATGAAAGCTTTAAATATGGTACTCTACTCTACTTTAATACAAGTTTCAGAGATATAGAGCCGTGTTAGTCTGAATCTGCAAAAGCGATGAAAAGTTCTGTGGCACCTTATAGACTAACAGATTTATTGGAGCATAAGCTTTCGTGGTCAAAGACCCATTTCGTCAGATGCATCTGACGAAGTGGGTCTTTGACCACGAAAGCTTATGCTTCAATAAATCTGTTAGTTTATAAGGTGCCACAAGACTTTTCATCGATTTAATACAAGTTGACATCAGTCCACCCTGAGGCAGATTTGGCTTTCACTCTGATTCTTCGTGGCTTTGAATTGTGTGCTGTGTCTGTACTTAAAGTGTGACAGTGATATAGCTACAGCACTTCAGTGTAGACACTCACTAAAGCAATGAGAGGGGTTCCTACATCTCTGTTGTTAATCTACCTCCTAGAGAAGTGGTAGTTTGGTCAGTGTTGTGTGCAGTCAGCCTGCCCCTCACACATGCCCTTGCTTTAAATGTCTGTCGCTTCTCAACTCTCTCCTCCACTGCAGGCCCTGCTCTCACTCTACGTCTTCCCTCAAACCCGCACCCTTCCTTTTCCCTGCCTTCTGAGAGTGTGCCTCCTCGTTTCTCATCCCCTTTCCTCCAAGCATTTATGGAGCAGAGTTAATTGGCTGATTTGCAGCGCTTTGGAAGTCGGGGGAGGGAGAGAAAGAAAAGAGTAGGTAAGTAGTGCAGGGCCGCCAGGGTGAAGGAGGAGGTAGAAGGGGAGTGCGCAGACCATACGTAGAACTCGATGGGCTGTGTGTGTCATACACGTTACCTACCACTGGTGTAGAATTTTTCTATTTGGTCTGGACTCTGGAACCTGGCAAGGCAGTGGGTCACAGAACCTGGGTTGCAACACAAATGGGAAATTCTACACTGCTCTTTTTAGCCTCATAATATGAACATGAGTCAGTCAGCCTTGGCTCTGAGGCTTGTTGTTTTAGTTATATATTTACTTTTGCAGGGTCAGTGTACCTTTTGGTGGACATTTTGAGAAAATTCATAGTTTATATTTTCTCCTCCTGTGCTTTACCCATATTGAATTAGTAGATCAGATTTAAATATACTGGATAAGTGAGACCCTGCACATTAACTCACCATTTTTAAAGAGTTTCTGATACAGAAATGATAAGAAAATAGAATATTACGAGTGTGAAAGATACGGTGGTGTAAGCATTCTTGTTTTGTTATTTAAGAACTAATGAAAAGATGGTACAGTGAGGATCCGGGATGAGTTGCAGTTCATACTCTGTTTAAATACTTTGTCTGCCATTTAGTTAGTTCCAACCAATATTATAGCTATCAAGTAATAATACTTGATGTCAGCATGTGGGTGATAAGTTTTTCCAAGTTTTGTCTTATTTATTTGCTATTGAGAGGCTTCAGAACAAATCTTGCACTGGTGAATCTTAGAGTAGCCGGAACTATTCTTCATTTTCAAACTGCTGAAGAGCACATGACTCTTAGTGTGTAAAGTCTTCTGAGCCCTATCCCATCACTTTCTACAAGATTTTAAACTTTTTGAAAAGTTTTTAGCACAGGGTATAAACTGATGTATTATTATCTCCTGAGCGTGGAGGTAGAGGGCTCTGTTGCTGGTAGCTTTGCCAAGCTATAGAAGAGTGACACTAACAAGGCTGTGATCAGTTGCATAGCTACCTGTCAGAACCCTGAGCGCCAACATTTGAAAACTCTCTTGACCTGAATGAATAGATGTTTTGACCAGGTGAGTGGACTGAGTGAAGCTAGAGAGTTGTTGGCTCATTTTCTTGAAGAGAAAGAGAAGAAAGGTGGTCATTAAGTTGTTGCTGGATTCCCAGGTTCTGAAGCCTAGGAACGGAGGTGTGTTTCAGAGCCCAGGCTTGAGCCTGGACCCCAACTTCAAAGTGCTGTCTACAAAGGTAGTTTTAGAATTCTGTGAGCTCTGCTAGCCCAAGTTTGTCAGCATGAGCTAGGAAACTTGCTTCTGCTCAATCCAAAATGCTGTGCAGACATCCTTAGCCATTGGGCTAATTTCTAATGCCATTCTATGAGCAGCAGTGAAAAGAGCTACGAGCAGCAGATGCAGGCACTGGAGTTATTTGCCGAGGAGGAATAGCTTTAGAAAAAAAGTTGAGAGATGATGAGTAAAATACCAGAGACTTGTCTTTCCAGACTGTTGCAGCAGATTAAAGGAAGGATGACGTTATTGGGGTGAGATGGGACTGCCGCAGATGGAGACCAGCATTTTTTCATTGTCAGGAGTTAAGACAACTTCCAGACAGAAGCTAATACAGCATTTCTTTCCACAGCTTGAAATCACACTTGCATTGTTTCAGTTAAAAGTACTTTGAGACACTATATATGCTGACTTTCCCTGCCAGTTTTTGTAGTTTTACACTCAAATATTTGTTTTAATTTTTTCCTTTGTTGCTGAAGAAGGCCTACACAAATGGGAAGTTAGACAAAGTGCTATCAAATGTCTAAAATAAACTGAAAAAGAAGTCTGTGTCTTAATGGACATTTTATTTAATCATGTATATCAGCTAGACTCCTGAAGCTGCCTGAAAGGATGTGTGCATTGGTTATTACCTGGGTATAATTTATATGTAGTGGTGCTTTCCTTCACATCATGACTGTGGGTATTCTTGAATACCTTAACTTCTGGAAGTTTCAAGATTCCTTGGCTACAGTGTTCAGGTTTAGAAGTAGGGACTAATCCAGTGTTAGTAATTCTATAGGGGGTAGTATACAATCCATCATAATAGCTTAGAACCTGTGAGTCTTAAACTGACAATAGTACTTGATACCATTAGCTTTAACCAATTTTGGTCGAAGAATTTCTAAATAGCATTACTGACTTTCTGTGGGTCAGACAATTGGTTGATACTTCATAGGTCATTCTCCTTTAGTCAGAGTCAAACATATCTTAGGATATAGTATTAATATACACCACCGAGGAGGAGGAGGAATTGTATATGGCAGAAAAGGAAATAGTGTGACATGTAGGTAATTTTGTCTGCCTTATTTAGTGCATTAGTTTCACTCTCCATTTTGTTGTATACTCTGAAATGATTTTACAGTATATTTATTCTGATAATTCTTTAAGAAATGAAGAAACATAGGAAACCAAGAAGACCAAGAAGGACAAGAAAAGAAGAGTGTGATCAAGATGACGATATGGAAGGTCCTGTTATAGATGAGTCGACACTGTCAGTGAAGGAATTAAAGAGAAACTGCATTTACAGACTAAAGAAGGTGACAATGTTGTCTTTGTATATACAGTACTCTCATATTTTAATCACATACAGATTTTAATCTGTGAATTGAGAGACCAAAGGCTTGTGCCAGCCTCTGCTCAGTTGGGGCCACCTCCTATCTTTAGGCAGGCTCCTTGAAATGATCCAGATAGTGACAGAGAGGAGGGGAGAAGAGTGAGCATTGGTGGTGTGGCCTTGGAGAGAAGATGCAGAAAAGGGGGCGGGTTTGGGGAAAGAGGCAAGAGGAGGGGCGTCTCTTGTCAGGGTTCTGGTTACCAGCATTTAGAATGGTGGCAAAATACAGTTAAGAAAGAGGGAGGGTGGATTTTTGGATTTACAATCTAAGGGTACATCTACACTGCATGACTATTTTGGGAAACCTCCAGTATCCCGAAATAGCTACCCCACATCTACACAAGCTGCCTATTATTTTGAAATATTTTTCAAAATAACGGGTGTGCTATTTCGCCATCCTGGTAAACTTTGTTGAACTAGGATTAAGGGATGGCTCAAAATAGCAGGTTATTTTGAAATTTTGGCACTGTGTAGATGCACAAAACTTCAAATTAAGCTATTTCAAAATAGATTGAGAACAAGATATGCAGCTTGTGTAGACACATCCTAATTGATCTTGGCAGATGTGTCAAATGAAGGTAACATTTTTCTATATCTTAGTCAATGAACAATCTCAATTTTAGCGTTCTCGAAACTACCCAACAGCCAAATACACCTGCAAATTATGTGATGCTTTGATGGAGTCAGTGACATTTGCTCATAAGCATATTAAAGAGAAGAAGCATAAGAAAAACATAAAGGTGAGTTAATGATACATAAATATAAGGTATGGATTTGTAAAGCTATTGGTTTATTGCTAATGATAATTCAATTGTTAGCCCTGAGGTCTTTCTTGTTCTTTCCATGCTTAATATGTTGCTAGTGTAATACAGAATGCTTCTGTAAACATTTACTCCAGTCACATTTGGTAAAAGCAATAAGTATACAGCTCAAAATATTTTTCCAGTGTAGAGTGAACTCAGGATTGCCTCTAGGATATTATTGATATCTCTTAACTGTCATTAAAGGGAACTTTCATTTCATGTGTTGTTTTAAAGTTATGACCTAAAAAGCTGCAATAACTTAACCTTATTTATTCATGAGTTGTGTAATAGTATAATTAAACATGTATTTGCTCTCTTCTTAATGTGTAATTTAATTGTGTTCTGATAGCTATAATATAATTGATTTAGAATGGCTTGGTAAAAGAGAATTTAAAAACATTTTAATTTGCACATATAAGTAAAGACTGCCATTTTGAAAATAATCTAGATAAAATAAAAAGATTGTTGAATATTCCAGTGTGAGGGGAATATATATGAATAATAAAATAGCTTTATCTTTAAATATAATCATATTTTCAAATTTTGCCAGCATAAATGCACTATGAGGTTTTTTATTACTGAAAGCTGTGCCTACCCCCTTTCTCTGTCTTTGCACCAGAAGACAAAAGGAATTGAAAGGCATGTATGGAGTTTTTCTTTTGTCTTCAACTTTATTATCCCATACCACTCCTTACAATGATAAAGGAATATTTTCTATGTCTTTTATATAGGTGTATGATTTTTTGTAAATTAATGAAGCCTTACGAAGTGTCTAGCTCTTTAGATAGATGATATACAATGATTCTTTATACGTACCAGGGTTTTTCTAGACTTTAATTGTGTCCTAACACATCATCTGTTTGAAATTGTTAACTAGCTCCATAATATAGACGGGCACGCAGAAATGTTTATGGCAGTGCATTGTGTGTAACCACCCCTACCTCATTAAAGCAATTGAAGAAAGTCAAATATGTTAAAATATGGTTGTTCTTGAAGGAAAAGCAAGAAGAACAATTGCTGACTACCCTGCCTCCACCAACACCTTCCCAGATAAAAGCCATTGGTGTTGCTATTGAAAATGTAGTGCAAGAGTTTGGCTTAAATAATGAGGATTTGGAACAAAGACTCAAAATTAAAACAGCGATGGAAGATTTATTGCACCAAAAATTGCCAGGTACAACTCTGCCATTTGGTTTATCAAATACAGTGAAAAGAAAAAGCATCTTTCTGCACAAGAGTAATCTTAATCTCTGCAAATTGTATCAGTGATGTAATTTGTTTTTGTCAGTATGTTCTGCTTGCTGATGTAGTGTCAATGTTTTGGCCTGAAGTTTTCTCTACATTTCCCAGCTACTAAGTCAGTGGCAACTGATATATCAGCAGGGTTTAGAGGAGGCCCAAGCCATGCCCTGGTTTGCATGACCTTAATCTCTTCACCAGCAGCAAGGATAAGGTGTAGAGCCGTGGTCACCAACCCGTTGATCGTGATTGACTGGTCAATCGTGAGGGCTCGACCAGTTGATCGTGAGGCTTTCGGGGACCCCTCCATTTTCTCCCACCCCCAAGAAGCCCTACTACCTACCTCCAGCGACAATGGAGGTACAGCCTCTCTCCGAGTTACGAACTAATTACGGACCAAACACTTGGCCGTAACTCGATCTGTTCATAACTCGGACCCAATTGAGTTACACGCGACCGTGCTATTCGTAAACGTGGGTCGCGTTCGTAACTTGGGGACCGCCTTTACGACCGCTCCATGGGAGCTTTGGTCGTAAGTGCGAACGGTCGTAACTCAACTGTTCGCAACTCGGGGAGCGGCTGTAGTGTCAGCTTCCTGCGGGGTGGACGGAAGTCCTGCAGCTGCATGCCACTTCCGGGGGTTCCAGAAGTGTGCTGGCTGCTCCCCTCCCCCAGGTCTGTGACATGCTGGGAACTTGCAGGGGGTGGGGGGAGTCCCCAGAGAAGGTGCAAGCCGGGGCTTCCAGGCTCTGCGGGAGGGGGGAGTCGGCCCCGGAGGAGGCATGTGCCGGGTCTTCCCTCTTCTGCGGGGGAGGTGGGAGGAATCCCGTGAGGAGGCGGGTGCGAGGGATTGGCTGTCCCCTGCTGCAGAACCCTATACCCTCTGCCCTGTCCCCCATTGGCACTCTGCCCCCACCCCAGCACCCTGTCCCCAACCCTCTGCCCCAGCACTCACTAGCACCCTTCCCCAGTACCATGTTCCCTGCTCCCACCAGCACAGTTGGCCACATTAGTGAGGCTTCGGGGGGGTTTGGAAGAGGTTTTTTTTGCATCTCACTTGTGTGGCCCCCCACTCACTTTTCTGTGGGTCAGTGGCCCCTGATTCAAAACAGGTTCCCTGCCCTTCTCATAAATAAAGACAATATAGAGGCTTTTTGTATTTGACATAGTATTTTATTTAAAAATGAAGCCTGGCCAACAAACCCCCAATTGGGGCCAAGCCCCTATCTGGCCGCAGCATCATAACACTCCTGCACCCCCCTGCCCTGAGCTCCTCATATACCCCAACCCAAATTCCTGCATCCTCACATTCACAAGCCTGTGGCTTGCTTAGTACCCCAAACCTCCATCCAACCCCAACACTCCCCAGCCTGGAGCCCCCTCCCCAAGCCAGCATCCTCTTCTCCACTTCCTCCTGCATCCAGATTTCCTCCCAGAGCTTGCACCTCTCACCCTTTCCCACACCCAAATCCCTCATTCCCACCCCAGAGTCCACACATCCTGTCTCAACCCAGTGAGGGTACGGCTAGACTGCAGGAGTTTTTTCAGGATTCCAGAGATATCCTGGAAAAACTCTTCTACGTCCAGAGGCACGTTTGTTCTTCCACTTTTTTAGTGGAAGAGCAAACGTGCTCTTTGGGTAATCCCTGTATTCCTCGTTTCACGAGGAATAAGGGGGCTTCCGAAAGAAGGGGTTTTTCTGACATTTGGTCCAGTCTAGACAGGTCAAATGTTGGGAAAACCTCTTCCTACGGAAGAATCGAAAAAAAGCAGCAATGTAGAGTGTATAAGGGCTGGGGATAGCAAGAGATGGAGAGGAGGAGAATAGAGAGGGCAGGGCTTCAAGGAAGGGGTGGGGTCTTGGGAGGAGGAGGGGCAGTAGATCTTGGCTTGTTCTGACATTTAAAAAGTGACCTTGGGTGTAAAAAGGTTGGAGACCACTGGTGTAGAGAGACTGTCACGCCAGATCAGTGCTACTGACAAGTACTTGAGAATTGGGGTACACCTTTGATGGCTATCTGCTCCTGTTGTAGGGCTAAAATTTGCTGAGAAGGCATTGCAGAGTGGCTGAATTCTAACCCAGGATTTGGATTTAGATGTTGAGTAAATACAATGAATTCCTTTCTTTGCAGATTGCTCACTAAGGCTGTACGGCTCTTCCTGTAGCAGATTTGGTTTCAAAACTTCTGACATAAACATTGATGTCCAATTTCCAGAAAGTGTAAGTAAGCAGGTTTTATTATTTACCAAAATGTATTGGTCCAAGGGGAACTATTGTTAAGGTACAGTTAGCTAAAACCATCTTGATCTGTTGTTAGCAGTAGTAGTATTACTATCTTGATAGCATCTTCAATCCAACAAACTCAAAACACTTCACAAATACTAATTAAATAAATCTCACATCCCAGCATCCTTCTAAAACAAATAAGGATTTTATATCCATTTTACAGATGCTGTGACTTGCTTCAGTTTACACAGTGAGCCTGTGCCAACCAAAAGATCCTTCTTTTGATTTTAAATATGAAAGTATTAAAAACCTGTCTTTGCTCATACTTGTGGTTTTAGGTTACTCCTCTGTTGGGTCGTGATAGAGATGCCCTACTATAAACACACAAGTTTTAATGTTTGGTCTTTCATATCTCTATGCTGGGAATCTGTCAGGAAAGTGACTCCTTTTTAAATAGGTTTCTGCTTTTAAGTGCAGAACGCTTAAAACCGGCAACATTTTTCACTTATTGTACTTTTCCCTGCTTTGGAAACAGGCATTATATGGGTTTGAATAAACTGTTAAATTCAATTAAATAAGGAGTAGGGATTTCTTAAAACAGATTTTTAATAAAGACAGTTCTCTAAGGTGGCCATGACTGTTTAGCTATTGATAGTTATCTGAAGTGATTGAAGTAAATACTGAGTTAGTGTCTAGACATCATAAAGGAGGAGAGCAAAACTAGAGAGGCATTTTTTAAACCACAAATAAACTAACACTGTTGTTCTACTATGAAGAATTATTTTGGGCTGGGGGAAAAATAGTTGTGGGGTTCCGGGTTTGTTTCAGTAACTTAAATAGCAAATTTCATTTTCTCTTGTGAACTGAACTAATCATTTTCTAACTGCAAGCCCTAGAAACCCAACTTGGGATATGAGAACCAAATCAGCTAATTGATTCTTGCTCCACTTCATCAGTAATAAATACTGCTCTGAGACACCTGTGCTACAAGGTGGTGCTTTCAGTGGGCTAGCATAGGTTCAAGTGATTGGCATTTGATAACACATCCTGTGGTATGTTCAGAAACACAATTCAACAGTCCTAACAGTAGTAAACCAGTAATTTTATGTAAGAGCATACAGAAAAACAGTTCCTTGTGTGAAAAGTCATTTTTCAGATTTTTCAAATGTTTCAGTAGTTTATTATTTTAATTATTATTTATTGGATATCATTCCACAGATGACTCAACCAGATGTTCTCCTACTTGTACAAGAAAGTCTGAAGAATAGTGGTAAGATATACTTGTGAACTGCTTTCCATTTCATTTCAAAATCATCCTTTGCCATTATCGCAATGCTCTTTCACTGAATGCAAAACTTCAGATATATCAAATCAAATACTTAAATCATTTTTACAGAAAAATGTTAAGTCAGCCTCCATATGTAGTTTTGTTTCTTCTTATACACAGGTACAAGAGTAAAAGCATTAAGCTTTCTTAATTCTGTACATTGAATTAAAAAATGTCTTCACAGCTAGAGGAAACAGTTGGCATTTTTATGTTGTTTACTTTGTCAATGATCTTGCAGAGATTTAAGCATGTGAATTAAGTGAGACTACACGGTGCCTGAAGTTAAGCAGATGCCTAAGGCTTGCATTAGTGCCTTGGATAGAATTATGTGATCATCATCTAAACAACAACACTCTAAAGTGTAACATTCTATAATGTTCCCTTGCTCTTTCTGTAAGCACTGCTAGATGGTATCACATAAATAGCTATTGATGATGATATATCTCTGCAGCCCCTAGGGCAAGATGTGCTCCTTTACATTCCTTATTAGTCTCTCATCAACAGAAGTTGGTCCAATAAAAGACATTACCTCACCTACCTTTTCTCTCTAATATCCTGGAATTGATATGGCTACAACAAACACTACATAACTAATGCTGTCAGATAGCTGTTTAACAAAGACTTGCCATATGTATTCAAACAAATGACTTACCCTTAATTGATAATTGGAGCCCTACTAAATTCAGAAACTCATCAGACTATGAAATCTGGTATTTCGTATGCTTTTATCCTATTCTGTACTGATTTCATGGGGAGACCAGCATTTCTCAAATTGGGATCCTAACCCCAAAGAGAACTGCAGGGAGGTTGTGGTATTGCTGCCCTTACTTCAGAGCTGAGCGGCCAGACGCACAGCTCTGAAGACCGCGTCATCACCAGCAGCAGTGCAGAAGTAAGAGGGCAATACCACAATTCCCCTTACAGTATCCTTGCAACCACTCCACAACTCCTTTTGGTCAGGATCCCTATAATTATGACACCTTTCAGATTTAAATAGCTGAAGTAATGAAATTCACCATTTTTTCAAATCCTGTAACCATGAAATTGACCCGTATGGACTATGAATTTGGTAGGGCCCTGTCGATAATGGTAAATACTAAATGCATTACTTGTTTACTTTCTAAATAAGTTGCTGTTTCAGTATATCATTTAGATACTAGCTCCAGTATCTCCTTTGGTGGGAGAAATTCTGCTTGTTCTCATTCACATTAGGAATGAGGATGCCATCAAACTCAAGGCAAATTGTGCTGCCCCTCTTTCTACAGACTAGCTTGTGAGGATGATGTAGATAGTACCATAGATGTGAAGGGTGCTTCTGACTTGAAATAAGACGGACTAGTCTTTGTCCCAAACTACTTAAGGTCTCATTTTCAGATCCTAGCCTCCTGTAGTGTATGTACAATTTGTGCACATGTCTACACATGCATTTTTTAATGTGCTGATGTTTTGTACACAAGATAGAATGTTTATATGCAAACTCATCACCTGCATGTTGTGGTAGTAAAATAATTCCACCAGGTCCTAATTTATGAATATTAGTGAAGACTAGGTAAAAATGAGGTCTTTAAAAGCTAAATAGAACATATACAAAGGAAAAAAGGAGAGTAACTCCTTTTCTGTTTTATTTTGTATGTGAGGTTTTACCCGCACCCCCACCAAAAAAAAGTGGGAGGTCAAGAATATTTTTAAGATTGTACTGATAGGCCCTTCTTACATGCTTAGGAGTTTAAAATGCGTGGAAAGCATGTAACTCTAAAACTGTCTTGAAATACTGTTAGTTAAATAGTTTAGTGCTCTGTGGTATGATGGTCTCTGTAACTTGTTGGCTATTTGAGCAGTGGCTGATTGCATAAATGTAAAACAAAGTGAGTAAACTGAGATGGTATCAAAGCAAGAGGCTGAGCAGTATTTGAAAGGCAAAACAAGAATTAAGAGGCGAATACACCAAGAGACTAAATAAGACGACCTGCATGTGAAGGTTGCATTGCAAAAAGTTAATAAAGGACCAAAAAAACCCAAAAATGTGGACTGATCCAAATGAAGACGACCTATTAAAGGCAGGTTTATATAATGTCAATAAGGCTGCTATAATGACTAAATAAGCAGTTTCGGTAGGATAGTGGAAAAAATGGGCTTATATGGTTTCATTTTGTTTAACTGAGATTACCCTACACCCCTTCATACCCACTTCTGTAATGTTATTTATTTCCTTAAAGTACTGTAATTATTCTGGACCTTAGCCTGTCTGCAGTAAAACCAACAACCTAGATGAATATATTGAAAATGATATTAAGCATGTGTGCTTATTGATAGCCATGGTATATATTATTGAAGGTTCAGTTTCAGTTTCCTTGTAGTATTTTTTTTAACACAGCTGCTAGGCTGCTGCTGTCCCTACCAACAATAAGGTGATGTAGTTAGAAATACAACAAGTTTACATAGTTGGATTATGTTTTTCCTTTCATATTTTCAAAATCGAACACAATGTTTGTCAGTATTTACCCATCAGACTTAGCTTTCTATTTTCATGTTTGAATTCCTCTTATCTCTAGTTTGAGGTGATCTTGGTATGAATCAGATTGATAGCTCTAGAATCTAGTTCTACTCCTTGTGCTATGTAAGTTTCTCCTTAAACACAGAGCTTTTCATTAATAATGTGCTTAATGTGGCTTTTTCTTTTGTTTTCTCCCCCCAGAATCTTTTATTGATGTTGATGCAGATTTCCATGCTAGAGTACCAGTGGTGGTGTGCAGAGAAAAGCAAAGGTCTCAGTTGTCAATTTGTGTGTTCTAATAGCATATAGCAATGTAAATTACACATACCCACACCTGAAAAAAATGACGTTTCTGTACTAAATTATTACAGTTCCATGGATTTTGACACAAACACTTATGGGCAAGTCATTCCTAGCCTAGAATAAGAGGGTAAGGGTTATTTCTTCCTCAACCCCTCTTTCCCAGTCCCCTTTTAAAAACCAAGCAAACAAACAACTTGCATTTTTCCACCCATGTATCCCTCTATATTGAGGATGATTACTAAAGAAGAAAATTTTCTTTTTTCCATTCTTGATAATGCAGATTTACTATCAAATGATAGAAACCTAAAACAAAATGCAAGGGAAATTTAGATAGCTTTAGTGCTGTGAGAAAAGGAGTGAAGCATTTTATTTTGCTGCTTATCACATACCTCTTGAGATTAATGAAATACAGTGTAACTAGATACTGATGTAGAATCTTTCACCAATAGTTTGCAGCCATTTGGTCTTTCATTCATGATTTTTTTTCCTGCACTCTGGAAGTAGTTTATGATTTTTTTTTATTAAGGGGATTTGGAACAATGACATGATTTTGATTCATGAAAGTAAATGACATTGTAACATGTTTTCGTTCATTGATCAAATGTTTAAATGATTTTTAGTTGCTAAAAAAAAAACCTTGTGAAGCTGAGTGATGAATTGCTGTGAATTTTCAAACTGTTTTACTCTTAGAATTTAAACATTTTAAGCTTTTACAAAACTAAATACACAGATCAAATCAGTTTTGTTTGCTTCCTTTAATTGTAAATGTTAAGTTTCTGAGGCTGTTAAATCTCTCATTATAGTCTCAATTTATAATAAGTTGTAATATACCGCTTCCTTAAAACAGCTGCAGGGTTTTCAGTTTGTTTCTTTGTCATTGTAGTGGCCTTGTTTGTAAAGTGAGCGCAGGAAATGAAAATGCTTGTCTGACAACGAACCACTTGGCTACCCTTGGAAAACTGGAACCAACTCTTGTACCTTTAGTCATTGCCTTCAGATACTGGGCAAAGGTGAGTGTTTAATTTAAAAAAAACCCAAATGAGTGTATATGTCTCAAACCGTTCTTTTTGTCCAACTGTTGTGTGATGAGTTTCTCAAAACAGGCACTTGGATAAAAGAATGTATGCAGTGTACAAAAATGTAACCAAGATAAATCTTGATTTTCATGGTGTTGTAGTAAATTGTCATGCTAGTAAATCTGCAGTTGTAGTTTAGGAATGTGATTGCTCTGCATCTCCTCTTGGGAAATATGTACTCTTTGAGCTAACATTTTGCATGATCTAGAACAGGAGTTCCCCACTTTGGGGGATGCAGGCAGTCACAAACAGATTGTGTCCTATATATTGCTCCACTAGATTAAATCAGTGGTGTACCCCTTCTGTGGAACAGAGGTATTCAGTATGGAAAGCTTGTGATTTTTTTTTATTCTAACTTATACAAATAATTTATTCAGTTGCTTGAATGATATAAATATGAAAGTATTTTGTGCTTTTAAGAAACTTTCATTCTTTTATTATGTTCTTACTTGATTTACCCAGCACTGCTCAGGTCCTTAACTCAATTAATTTTTGTTTTTTGAAGAACAAAATGAAAATGTATATGCTTCATTTAATTCATTGCTCTGGGATGGGGCTTGAGGATGAAAGGTCCAGTATGCAGGCTGCTCCAGGGAGAGGGGACTACCCCAGCTCTCTGTTACCACAGCAGCTTGAGGCCAGGTGAGAAATGCCTCTCCATGGTCGCTGCAGCTCCAGCAGGCACAGTAAGGGGACATGTCCCCTTCACTCCCCACCCAGAGTGAAGAATGCAGCAAACTGTGCACTTTCCCCTTGCCAGCAACAATGCTTTTGTATAATTTGAGGTGGGAGGAGGGGCAGCTTCCAGCTCTCTCATGCCCTCCCTAAAGGGTGACTGGGAGGTGGGAAGCTTGGAGTTGGGGCACTCCTGGCAAGCCCTCAGCCAGCCCCTTTCACCTGTTTGGTGAGTCTCTTTTCTGTATGGTTTGGTGAAAAGCAATCCCATTCCAGGCTCATCCCATTTTCCTGACACAACCAAATGCTTACTTTGCTTTAAGTTAGGACTAAAGTCAGCATATAGTTTCCTTTTATCATAAAGGCATGGAGTCTGGACACAGCCACACTGTTCAGAAGGAGCTCTTGAACAGACACACATACTCTCCCAAATATATAGTGGATAACTTTAAAAGTGACAAACAGGGTATCATCCTATCAGAAATACTTATGTGCATTACATTATTTTCCTTGCCAATTATGTGCTTACACTGTCTGAGATTATCTAATTGATGCACATATGAGTAAATAGTTGTACTAAATTCTAGCACATAGCAATCACAACTATGCCACATGGCCTTTACAGTTAAAGATATCTTATACATAGGCAGCATTTTGTATGTAATAATACAGGTTAATGTGAAACAATAGCTGGAATTTCTTGACTTTGTACAAAAAAACCCAACTGTAATGTTTAGCAAACTCTTTCCTTATGTGCTTGCTGAGAGTCTAACTACATTAATGACAACACTTTTATAAAGATGTAGGTATGCATATCTTCATGTGTTAGTTTTTAAAAATTGCCTGTGTAATCCCAACTTTTCTGCACCTTTGTATCCGTTGCAAAAGTGCATCAAGTGCATAGAAGGGGAAGATTAGTGAAGTTTGAAATCATACATAACCAAATCATCTTTGTGAACATTAGCACTCTGAGTATAGGTAAGTCTAGATTCTTTAAATAGCTTGAGAAGATTACAGTACAAAGATAAGAGTCACAATTCTGAATTTTTATTATTCTGTAACTATTTAAACAGAAAACAAGTAGTTTATTAAAGGAGTTGAAGGGAAATATGCCAAGTTCTGATTCTTTTTAAATTTCCTTTCACCCTATTCATAATCTCAACCATTGCATACATCCAATGGCATGTATGGCCAGAAGATTTTCAAAGGGAATGCATACAGGAAAAGTGGTTCTAGAATTCTAGCTGTAATTTTAATGACTACATGAAGCCCTTTGGAACCAAACATATCCCATAACATTAGAACAAATCAGCTATACACATCTTCTCTCTCTCCCTTGAAGTATTTAAATTGACAGTTTTGTAAGTAGGAAAATAATGAGATTCCAAAAATGCAGAGAAATGTTAACATATTTTAATTTTTTTTTATAGCTGTGCTGTGCTGATCGTCCTGATGAAGGAGGTTTACCTTCCTATGTGTTTGCTTTAATGGTCATTTTCTTTCTACAACAGAGGAAAGAGCCATTTCTTCCTGTTTATTTGGGATTGTGGGTATGTGCTACTTAAGTATCATCAATCTCTGAGGGTCTGTGGCAATGGGTATAATAGGTGGGCCTGGCCCCATCTATACTCTGCCCCCAGAACACCTACTGTAGGTGTACTAAGGGTGGAGTGTTGCTGCCTCCAAGTGCCCGCCCTTCCGTGCTCCAGGCAGGGGAGGCTGGGGCTGCCTGCCATCCCCGTGTGCTGGGGAGGTTGGGGTCGCAACCTGCTTTTTCTTCCCATGGTGCTCCAGAGTACAGGGGGCTGGGGCTGCATGCCGTCCACGCTTTCCATGCTTTGGGGCCGGGGAAGCTGGGACCATACACCAAGTGGTGCTTGACTTCAGAGGGTGCTTGACTTCAGTAGGAGCGGGGCCTGAGAAGAAGGGAGGGGCTGGGAGCTTGCTTCCCCCAGCCCTATCTTCACCCACCATCCATCCTGAGGGTGATGTTTTCTAAATCTGTTGGTTACAATTGCAACTTAATTATTGCCTGCCTGTGTTTTGCCTATCCCTAGTGCAGGAGAGTAAGACACTTATTCACCAACAGCAGAATAGCTTTTGTGTGTAGTATATGTTACAAGAACAATAAAATTGCAAAATCACTCAAAAGTTAGGAAATGCCACAATTAAAGTTGTTTGAGCAGTTTCAGTTCATCCCCCTTGTGTGCAAGCATTATGATGTACTCTTTAATTACATGATCACATACTATTTTTGACAGGATACCTGCCTTATTCAATGCATGGAATAAACACTGCATACGTAATGAGTAACTATTCACTATTTTGTTTTCTCATTTCCTTCACTGCAGAGTCCTGAATCATCCCTAGTGCAGGTGCATACAGTGCACTGATGGGACAGAGGTCCTGTGGAAAAAATAATATGCAGTTATGTAATTAAAACTGAAAATACTTGTGCACATGAGGGAATAATTAAAATGGTATCAAACGTGTAAAATGTTCAAATAACTCAGTAAATTTGAATGGGATTTGGGCACGTTTATCCTAGGCTTAGAATACTCTTCTTCATACACTTCATACAGTTATTTCATCACTAGCATGTTTCAGAATTCTTTATACACTTGTCATTTGCATGCAGGACTTGATCTTGGTTAAAGAATCAAAGTCCATCAATATATAAAATTTTATTCGAAGTCATACTAGTGGTCGGTGTCCCCTGCTTGCTACTCTTGCTAGCCCCTGTGTCTCTGAAGGTAGGCCTTCCTGGCTCTCCCACTGGCTGCTGGGGAGATCTGGCCACTCTTTCTCCCTTCCACCCCAGCCACTGGACCCAGGCCAGGCCAGGCCAGCCCCAGCTCTCCCTGCCCCAGCTGTTGGGCAGGGCTGAGGCCAGGCCATCCCCAGCTCTCTGCGCTCCTCCCACCTCCGCAACCTGTACTTCAATTTGATCCCCCTGCCTCCATTTCTGCACTCACCATCCCCTCTTACCCCTCCCCCTCTACACTCCACACTGCCCATCCTCCTGCCTCCATTCCTATATTCCCCCCTCCCTTACCACAGCGCCCATCCCCATATACACCCTATCTCTCTTCCTCCCTCCCTATATAAACCCTGCCCCATCCCACAAATTCATTGAGCTGCATGCCCCTCCCCCCTGGAGCACCACTAAGTCAGACAGCACAGCCCCGGCCACCGCAGTAGGAGCCACAGCCTGCCCCCAGCCCAGCCTTTTCAAACTGGCCTGTTGGGGCAGCTTTGCTGTGTGGTGAGCCCAGGGAGCCCGGAGCAGCTGCTCCAGAGAGCTGGGGAAGTGGCCGGGGTGCAAGACTTGCTCAGCTTGTGGCGGTCCTGGGGGAGTGTGCCTGAGCCCAGGCCACACAAAGCTAGGCAGGGGCAGGGCCCAGAGGTAGGCAGATGGTGTTCCAGGGGGCACGGGGAGACAGAGATCCCGAGAGCGCATGCCTGAGCAAGGGGCCTGGTCTGTGTCACTGGCACACACCAGAGCTGCTCACTTGTGGGAGACCTGCAGCGTGGGCCCCAAGCGCTGTGGCTGGGCCAGGCTGCACAGAGCAAAGCTGTGTGGAAGGCACATGGGCCAGGTAGGCTGGGGGCAGGGCGTAGATGCAGGTGGATGCTGGTCAAGGTGGTGTACAGGGATGGAGACACTGTCCGCCCATTTCATGGAGCGGTCACATGGTCACGGCTCCTGGGGATGCAGAGTGATGTGCTGTTACTCTGTTGTCCCACAGCAAAAGGTTTTTTATAAAGAGAGAGATGGTGAAACCTTTAACAAAGTAAAAACAAATGAGTATGATTTTTGTACAGCTTTAAATATTGATTTTTTTTTTCTGGATGATTAATACTGTGGAAATAGTTGGTTTAAAATCTTTCAGATAAAAAATTTGTCTGGTGTTTTTTTCCTTTTTCCTTCTGCGCTCTCTAGATTGGAGGATTCTCATTAAACAAATTAGTGAACTTCAGCCTTAAAGATGTTGAGAATGATATCGTGGTGTGGGAGTATAATCCTACTGTTGATGATGCTGACTCTCCAAAAGAAGCTTCTCCTAAAAGGGGCAAGGTCTGAACTATTTCAGTTACTACTTTAGCAACTAGAAATCACTTGCGCAACTTTCAGCAATGACAACCTGCATTTATTTTAGGTAAAATAAAACTGTTTATGTATTGCAAAGCTAAACTGCATAATTCAGAGCCTATATGCAGTATTGTGGCCATGTCAGTTCCAGGATATTAGAGGGGCAAGTGGGTGGTGATAAAATATATTCTGACTTCACTTTATCTCTCTTAATTTAGTGGCCATTTTTCTGTTGTGTATGCGACATCCTAGTACCTAAAGACAGATGTGACAACTGATAGGAGATCGGAGAGCAATTCTATGTCTTAAGTTATTTGTGATGCCTGCTGGCAGTACCCCAAGTTGAAAGGCACCTCACTACTACTTGCCCTTAGCATGTGGATCCTTTTCTATGCTCACTCTGAGTCGCTCTCTGATTCCATTGCAACTAGCAACACAAACTTTCCCCTCCAGGCTTCCACAGACCCCCCCACTCTGTTTTCCCAATAGTGACAGACAAACTCCAATACCTGAATTCTCCAAAGCATGCCTGTAGAATCTAGTCCCTCCATCACTGGACACTCACTCAGTTACTAGACCCACTGTTCTCAAAGGAGCAGTACAGTACAGCTTCTTAGTTATTCCTTAGACCACAGCTCAGCTTAACACACAGATTTGTTTGTAGTGAAAACAAGTGTAAGTTTACTTAACAAAAAAACTACAAATGATAACAACCAGAAATACTGGAAACAAAGGTTTACATATAAAATAGCATCATAACATGCTTACCGGGGAACTAAATTTAACTAACAAGACTTTTTCCCTGTCTCATAAAGGTTGACTCATCCAAAATATCTTTCTGCTAGCTTTTTAGCAGCACGGTTGACTGTGATCTTCTGTTCATAAGAGAAGCATGCTGTCAACTTGTCTACTTAGGTGAAGGATGCAGTTTCTGTGTCTCTACTTTGTTAAAGTACAAAAATCCTGAACTTGTGAACAGGATTCTTCTCTTCTCCTTCCATTAGTTGTGTGTTCCTTTGTGCTCCTTTCTTGTTGGTTTCTGCAATCTATTGATTATGCTCAGATTGTAGTTAGGCTTTCATTTGTGAAGTAGACGATATATAATACACTTGACCAGCCAGTCAGAGATAAGCGTCTCTTCTCTCTTGCCTTTCAGGACTATATTGGTCCCCTTCTACTGACCTGTCTTAACTCAGACCTTAAGCATATAATTTTCAGTCTGTGTACCTAACTCCTTACATGTTATCTTTTTACACATCTCACGATGATTATGATAACCAGTGTGACATGGGTTTTCGTTAAATACCTTACATGATATTATTTGGTGAACCAGTATGCACATACCAGATCGAGGGATCCCTGTAATTCTTATACATCCCTGTGCTCTCATCTAGTTGACACCAAGAGGTTCCAGGTTCACAGCATTGGGTTAAACTAGGGGACAACTGTAGTTGATATAATTCAAGTCCTATTTCAAACTTACCTGTGTCAAATGAGTAGATCTTAATTTCAAACAATTGTTGTAGGATAATTACTATTACATTACCTCTTTTTTTCTTATATGCTAATAATAATGTTCTTTTTTAGAAATAACATAATTCAGTTCTAATCATAGATATGAATTATGCATATTATATATAAATTACATAGATTTCATCCAATAGTGGCTGTTATAATTTTTAAGTGTAAAATACTCCATTACCTTTGCTAAAAACATCTTATTTGGTAAAATACTAAGCAATCTTTATATAGATAAAATATACAATCTTTAAAAATAATTTGTAAGCCCGAGCTATTATAAATTCATGTAAAGTAAATTCTTACTAAATATATTAAGTATAACTTTCTCTTCTTGCTTGAGGTACATGTTTTTGTGCCTGTCCATTTAAGTGGCCATAAAGAGCCTTGTTTCTGAAAAATGATTTGCATTTGAGGTTATATCCTTCATCCTATGTATTTTGTGCTCTGAAATGCTCACTTTGAAATGTAGCAATTATACCACAGAAACATTTTTTATTCAAATACACAATCATATTACTGTTAGCCATAATCACAAATGTAACTGTCTAACCATTATTACATTTGATTTAAAGTAGGGTTGTCAATTGACCTGTGTTAACGCCTGTGATTAGCTTAGGACAGGATTAACACGTTAAAAAAATAATGCATTAATCGCAGGCGTTAATGCTGTGCTGCTTCTTTGAAGTGCCAGTTCCAGTACTTCGAAGGGGCAGCACAAGCGGAGCTGGGGATCAGCTCCGGGACCTTAAAGGGGTAGCACTGCATGGAGCCCAGGGTCAGTTGGGAACGCCAGCTGACCCTAGGCTCTGCCCTTGCGCTGCCCTTTTGAAGTGCCACAGTGGTGCTTCCAAGGGGCAGCGCTGCATGGAGACTGGGGTTAGCTGGGAACTCCAGCTGATCCCAGACTCCATGTAGTGCTTTTCAAAGGGGAGTTGCATGCATTTAATCGTGAATAAATTTTTAAATCTCTTGACAGCCCAATTTAAAGACGTGGAAAGGTTAGTGTAACTTAAGATACTTGTCTTTTTAAATTGACCTCTTTTGTAACTTTAAAATTCTCATAATGTTCTACGGCAAGCCCTCGCTGTCCGTGGTTTTGCTGTTTGCGGTTTCACCTATTCATGGTGTGGTGTGCTGCACTGCACTGCACCAACACATGATGCAGCATGCTTTTACTTTCTCGGTGTGTTGTAGTGAAAAAAATATGGTTGCTAAAGTAGCACCTAACCTTAATTATAGCACCAAAAAGAAAAGCAAGTGATGCAGACAGTGGTCAAGAGGTTAAGAGAGGGAAAAAAAGTGATGACTTCAAGCAAGAAAGTCGAATTATTAGATAAGCTTGCAAGTAATCATAGTGCACCCTCAGTAACTAGAATGTACAGCATTAACGAGTCTACTGTGTGTGATATTTAAAAAAAGAGAAAAACATAAGGGACAATGTTGCTGCAAGTGTGCCAGCTTGTGTGAAGGTGTCATGTATGAATCATGAGCCCACAAATGAAAAAATGGAAAAGGCATTAAGCGTTTGGATTGAAGACATTACAGAAACGAGCACCTGTGAATGGTGCTGTAATTCAAGAAAAGGCTTTGAGCTTGTGGAAGCATTTTGCACAAGCATCAGGTAGTGAGTGGGGATGTTAGCATGTAATTGAATAGTCATATAACCACATGAATTTTTAGCTGTTACACAACTATTTGATAGTCCCCAGAGGTAGGGCTGGCAGCCAGTTCCTTCCTGCCTCCACTCCCAGAGAGTCCCCTGTCATCCTGTGCTGCTGCCTCTGATACAGAGGCATTAGCGCAGGGTGGCAGGCAGGAGCCAGTGTAAAAATCAACTTGCCCCACAGGGCCCAGGAACGCTGCGAATAGAGGCTGCTCTGTGGGATGCCGAACAGCCTCTGTCCGTGGAGAGCTTGGACCCCCTGGACCAGGGGTGCTGCAATGGAGCATCCTCTCTCTGTGGCGAGCTCAGGCCCGCCGCAGACAGAGGCTGCTTTGCAGCAGTCCACCCCATCCCCTCACCGCACTGCTGGTCTGATAGAGGCAGCAGCTTGCAGGGGAGAGGGGGGAAACAGGTAGCATTGCAGAGCTGGTGCTAGGGAGAGCTGACGCTTTTAAGCAGACTCCCCGCAGCGCTGGTTCCTGCTTGCCACTTTCCCACCCTGCTGCCTCTGTAGGTGGCATGGGGGGAGGGAGGGGGCAGATCTGCAGAGCCGCACGTGTAGAGAGCAAGCTTAAAAGCTGGCTCCCTGTGCATATTGGCTCCCGCCTGCCCCCCGTACCCGCCGCGCTGCTGCCTCTCTTATCAGAGGCAGCAGCACAGGGTGACAGGACTCCTTGGGAGTGGGGGCAGGAGTCTTCCAGCCCCACCTCTGGGGACTAAGGAAAAATTGATGAGGTTACATGACTATTCAATTACACGCTAACATCCCCACTCGCAGGCAGATCTGGTGTTTGTGGGAGCCAACTTAAAGTTGGATCCCCAGGGGCACTGGCTACTACCTCCCCCTACTTGCTGCCTCTGGGGGGGATGGAATGTGTGTAATCATTAGGATTAACTGATAAGCCCAGGTGTATGTAGTCGTCTACTCGTTGATATCCCTAATGGTGAGGGGGGACTCACGACGGTACAGTGTCATTCACTGCAAGCAAGGGGTAGTTTGACAAATTGAAAAAGAGGCACAGTTTACATAATGTGAAGTTAATGGGAGAATCAGCATCAGTAGACCATAACGCAGCACAGGCTTATCCCTTGCAGCTTCTCATCACAATTTTTTTTTGCGAACCCACCCCTGTTAACTCCCCCATTCCAGAGGAACAGTAAGATTCACAGGGAGCAAGTTCAAAGTGTTTTGGGTGATTAGTTTTGAAGTTGAAGTTGTTTGTTGACAATATTGTATTATCTTTGTGTTCGAGTTTGGATGGAATTCTGCTTTGAAGTTAGTTTGACTGTGAAATCACTTGTTTTGGACAATGTGTTGTTTTTGTGTTGCAAACATCCTCTCCTCCTCTCCCCCTCCTGATTTGCGGATTTCGGCATTCACTCCTGTCTCTGGAATGTATCCTTGCGAATATGGAGGGGTTTCTATAAATTCACTTGTTTGGGTAGAGTATTAACCTTCATTGTTGAGACCTGAACATTCATTGCAGAGGTCATTTTTAGCCATTGTATTACCTGTTACGGCTTCATTACAATGTTATCATGACCTTTCCTCCATACCACTGTAATACTTAAATTACTAGTTTATTTTAAAATGTATGCATTTTTACATGACTCTGTGTGTGCGCATAGGTATCAGAGATTGTGTAAATGAAGTGTAAGTTTTAGATCGGCAAAATGATTTTTTTTTTTGCCCCCCCAAAAGAGGGTTTTTTACACACCTTAGGACTAGAGGGTTTAAGCATATGCTTTCTAATTAACAGGTTCCATTAGTGTTTGATTCAGGACACCAGTGTTCAGCACCAGTTGGGCAGCTTTGGGTAGAACTGCTTCGCTTCTATGCCTTGGAGTTTAATTTGGCTGATCTGGTCATCAGTATACGACTCAAAGAAGCAGTGTCTCGTGAATCAAAGGACTGGCCTAAAAAGCGCATTGCTGTGGAAGGTACCTGAAGCCTCTCTCAAGATTTTTCAGCTCTCTGACTTACCAAGTATGCTGTTGGATATGTTTGAAAAACAATTTCTGACACATCTTTCTTTGTGATACCATTTAATACATTGTTTCCTCCACATAGTATAGAGTTCAGTTTATTGCTAATATGTTCCTAAAACAGAGTATTAATTTAATCAACAATATATCAAAATGTTGTAAGACATAACAGAGCTAATCGAATCTATCTTTTCTTCTCTGAATAACTTTATATCCGTCAATAAAGTTATAGAATTCTGTATTCAATTAACTCATTACTTTCTTTTTTCTTTCAGACCCTTATTCAGTAAAGAGGAACGTGGCAAGAACTCTGAACAGTCAGATAGTATATGAATATATTCTTCATTGCTTACGGGCAACTTACAAATATTTTGCTTTGCCCCATAAGAAATCTACAAAATTCAGCCCCAAGAAGCCTTTGAATGACAATGAGGGGACATCACAAAGATTAGAACCTGAAAAGGATGCCATAAAGCATGATGTCATTGATACACAAAATGTAAATGACAAAATGAGGGAAGTGGTAGCAACTGATTGTATTAATGCTGTTGATGTAAGTATAGACACACCTCAGGCACGTTCAGTTAATCCTTCAAACATGTTTGACTCTGAAAGCCTGATTGAAGATGAATTGGCAGATGATGTAGGACATTTGGGAATTGCCCAGGAAGATTCAGACTGTGTAATTGAAGAGATGATTTCTGGTGATAACGAGGACTTTAAACCAAGTTGTGTGGAGACAGAAAGTGGAAATGAGGAGGAGGAAGAGGAGGAGGAAGAACTTGACCAAGATAAGAAATGGCAGAAAAATGTGATAGTTATTGATCAAGGCTTGGATGAAGACAGTGAAAATGGTACTCTCCCTATTCCAGCAAGTGAGCATGATATTGAAACATCCGGTATTTCAGACTCTGAAGGTTTTCAGAGTGCTATAGTCACAGAGAGTGATGAGGTTGGTTTGGAGTGCAGTGTTATACTTGAGGATAAGGCTGACAGGGATGAAGAGAGCACAGAGGAAACTGATGAACTGGATGATACTGTGAACAAATTTGCACCTTCATTACAAGACCAGATATCTGAAATCAATAATTCAGATGAGGAGGAGGAGGAGGAAGAAGAAGAAGAGGGAGAACAGAGTCTTATAATAAACCAAATAGAATGTAGTGGTATTGTGACTGCTGAAGATGAGCTGAATAATGCTTATACTGGATCTGGGGGTGAAGATGCACTGTCTGAGGAAGAGCAAGAATTGTCTCTCCATGTTAAATATGAAGAGACAGAGCTGGGAAAAAATGTAGATAAATCTTTAAAGGTAGATTTGAAGGACGAGGATTTGATAGAGAGAGGAAGCCTTTGTGAAGACAGCACAGTAGCTGGAGAACTTACAGGATCTGAGCTCTTTTATGAGTTTAATAAACCTGCTTTCACAAAGGGCAAGGTAAGCTCTTAACATCTAACCACCAGAAAATATTACTTACAGTTTAAGATATACTATATCTAAGTATAGTTTTGATTGATTGAAGGGCAATATATTTTAAAAATATCTTGTTTTCTATTCACACAGTCTCCTATGGTTGTGTGCAGCTTGTGCAAACGAGAAGGTCACCTCAAGAAGGATTGTCCAGAAGATTTTAAAAAAATTGAGCTTGACCCTCTGCCAGCACTGACACCCAAGTTTTCAAATATTTTAGATCAAGTATGCATCCAGTGTTACAGTAAGTCATCAATACAGCATAATTTCAATATGTCTGTGGAAAATACAAATTAGTTCAATAGATTTTAATAGAACTTAAGGGAATTCAACAGTGTCAGCAAAGCTAGGTCTTAAAGTAGTAAAACTGGTACAAAAAAGCAATATTCTATGGGATAATGACATTGGCTTAGTTGCTAAATTGCAGCTGATAGTTGTTACATTCATGAGTCTAAACTGTACTTTCAAAGAGTAAAAAATCCAACGTGTGTAGGCTGATCTCATCACTCCTTGAACTAAACATGAAATCAATGAAAGCTGCTGGATATTTGATATTCTTGAAATTTAGGCATCTACTACACATAGACTTCAGAGCCTAAATGTCACATCCTTTTTCAAAAAAAATTTGGCCAACATTCTTTAGTACATTGTTTATGTGATATTTTGTATCTCTTTACCAGAAACTACTGTTTTAAAGAACAAAGGCAACAAATTCCTTTAAAGACTATGCTGATTATAGATTTTTTGAAACATTTCCCCAGTTTATTTCAATGTGGCACCATTGACTTCTGACTGGACAAAATGCACTTTTTTTTCTAATGTACTTTTTCTTTGACTCTTCTTTCACCTATACCTCCCTCTCTCCTCCCCCACCTCAATTTCATCTCTTTTTTTTCTTCCTGTCAATTAACTGTGCCAACATTTTTACATACTTTGCCTGAATTGGTGTGTTTCTGGCTTTTTTGAAGAGGATTTTGCTCCAAATATTATAGAGGACCAGGCTCGTGAACATATACGGCAAAATCTGGAAAGTTTCATCAGACAGGAGTTTCTAGGTAATTGTGTAACTACTTTTTATATTCATATTTCATTTTTAAAGTTTCATTGTTTTGGTATTTTCAACAATTTCATTGTGCCAGTATACAGAACAAACTTGGCTAATTTAAATTTCTTACTCTGCTTAGTTGCTTAAAAATATACCATGACATTTACATTATTGCATAACAGAAAATATTCCAAATTAATCTGAACTCACTGTTACAGCTTGATGTGTTCTCCTCATACATTATGCCCTGCTTCCTTGAGATTGTGTCTGTTTTAAGAAAGAACACAAACAAAAAGCTCCAAAAACATGTCAGTTATAAAAAAAAATTACTTCCTTTTGGTGTCAGTCAATAGTTCTTCACATCAACAGAAGTGAATAACAGCAATTTAAGAAACTGGTAATCGCAACATTTTTCTCTAATTCATCAGTCAAGATTCACTGTTCAAGTCATTGTATTCCGTCTTGGAAAACTGCTACAAACTTTCTGAAACCCCTTGCAGCCCACCTTGCTCAGGCCAAAATTATCTTCTTCCTTTCAAAGTTCACCTAAGAATTAACTTTCTTTTTCTGATGTTGTTCTCAGAATGCAAAGAACAATTTACAGCCTGTATATCATAGGCCAGGCCTGGGCAAAATACGGCCCATGGGCTGCATCAGGTCCACCAAGCCGTTGGATCAGCAGGATCCCTGCTTGCCCCGCAGCCCTGCACATCTCTCAGAAAAGTGGCTGCGGGACCGTTTCTCTTTCAGAACTGTGAGCCTGGAAGGAGGACGGAGAAGGCTTCAGGCACTGCCCCCACCACCAGCACAATCCCATTGGCTGGTTTCTGCCAGAAACTTGGCCAATGGGAGCTGCCTGTTTAAATAACAGGCAGCACATGAAGCACCATGGTCCCTCTCTTCCCTCCGGCTCAGTTATTCAGACAAGCCCATGGCCCTGCAGCCTGTGGAGGGGTCAAGCAGGCAGGTTGGCTAGTTGAGCTCTGCAAGTATATAGCTTAAAACAAATTGGAATATGAAAATATTGTGCATATTCTGGCTATAAATTGCACTTAAAATTAACTGAAAGAATCTATTGGGAAGGAGGGGGATTTTTTCAATTTACACTGGTGCATTTTTCAGCACCTGATGCATACTATAGCACCTCTTCTGTTTCTTTTTTTCTGAAAAGAGCCCTTTAAACATCTGTAAGGAAGCAGAGAAGCCTTCATTCTATAGAAAGTAGAGAGAGGAGAAAATCTCAGGATATACTTTTTAAATAGTGTTTTATCTGAGGATGGACTTAGTCAATTTAAAAAACAAAAAACGAAGTGATGGATATCCTTTTAACATAAGCTTACTTTCCTGTTCACAAACTTTTTTGTCTTAATGCCAAAAAAGATGACCGTTTTGCTGTGTGGCTTAGTCATTATTTTGATTTGAGTGTTTTTTATTTATTGCTTTTGTAATGTGAATCAGACCAGCAATGGTACAATGTTATCATCCATAGAAAAATCAAGAAAGTATGCCGTATATTAAAAAATATTCCTTAAAGTGGTTTCAGGGGGTAGCCATGTTAGTTTCTGTAACTGGAAAAACTTAAACAACAACAAATAGTCTTGCAGCACCTTAGAAACTAACCAGAAATGTAGCTGATATCATGAGCTTTTGTGGACACAACCCACAGGGGGTCCAGTTTTCAAAAAAAAAGCCCCCCCATCCCCTCTCTGTGCTATTTATTTGAAAACTGGACCCCCTTAAATTCCAATCACCTGAAGAAGTTAGTTGTGCCTGCGAAAGCTCATGATATCTACATTTTTTGTTAATCTCTAAGGTACTGCAAGACTATTCCTTAAAGTGGTGTTCAATATTGTTCAATTCAAACCATACCTATTAAAATTAACTGATGGTATATCAGTATGTGGTTATAATACCATATCCTTCACAGGAACCAAGTTGAACTTGTTTGGCTCATCAAAAAATGGTTTTGGCTTCAAACAAAGTGACCTTGATATCTGTATGACATTTGATGGACTGGAAACTGCTGAGGTAGAGTTTAGCACACTTTTGTATAAATATATAACTTGTACTGGCCTGATATATATAATACAGCTATTGTTGCTGTGATTACTATGTCTTGACATCCTTTCGAAAGAAGGACTTGCACAATAGCTGACAAAGTAAATACAACTTCTACCAAAAAATTAATTGGCTAGTATTCTAGGTGCTTCTTGCTGCTAGGTCACTGAATCTAATTTAATAATTTCTTCCTTTACCTGTGTTTATTCGTAGTTTCTGCAGTGAACTCTTAATATTGTTTGAGATGTAAATGAAAGAGGAACATCTGGTTTAACATCACAGTGTTGATGCATGGTAACTTAGTACTAGACGATGGGGTAGGAAAGAAGCAAGTCTTTCTTTTAGGTTGAATAGGTTATAAATGCAAGTTTATAAACTCTTTTAAGAAGGATAGGGTGTCTTTTAGTGTTGATTTTGACATACTCTGAATTTTGAAAATGTCTGGTACTAATGTTGCAGGGTGTACAATTTAGTTATCTTTTATTCCTATATCTTTTAATGGGTTTAAAACTGACAAGCAGTGAAAGGCATCTCCATTAAAATGGTTTGGCTTGGACACTTTTTAATAGTAATAGGTTTTCTAAAATTTTGTGATCGGCACAAAATATTATCAGTGCACTGAAATTATTTTCCTCTCCTTTTCAGGGACTTGATTGCATAAGAATAATTGAAGAATTAGCAAAAGTACTTAAGAAACATTCAGGTACCTTTCTAGAGAATAAGACTCAGTAGTTTTGTGTACATAAATTTCTAAAGTATTTATGAAGTCAGAGATTACTAATGAGTTCGGCATTAGCAGCATTGGGGAGTTAGATTGTGAGTATTTGTAGATCTTTATTTACATGACTAAGCCTGTTGAAGAGTTCTAAGGTTTATAGGACCAGGCCTAAATTAGACTGTGGTACTGTATTAATGACATATATGAAAACAAGTCCAAAGGTAGAAGTTTGACCCTTCAGACAGTGGTTATAGATTTGTATTTACATACAAAAAATGGGTATGTTGACAAATAACATTAATATTTCTGAAGATGGCGCACACTAGACATTCCAGGTATATATTGCTACATAAAACCCATTTTAATCCTTTTTATGAGCATTTCATTCGTATTTTAAATCATTAACTCACTCTATACCAATTAAGTATTTTTGCTACGTAGATATTTAAACAACAGTTTTGTTTTCAGCTAATGTGAAATAAAAGCAAATATAATTATTCTGGGTTTCTGACAAGTGTCTGAAATCAATATATAATATAAATTAAATTTTATACTTTTAATGTATGGAGATTTAAAAGATAGCTTTGATATCTGTCCACAGGCTCTTAAAGAAACCTTTGCACCTTTCGTAAGCCCTTGTTAGTGTATTAGATACTGTTATCATTGTATTAAAGTGAAAGCTAAAATTAATATTCCATCCTAGGTTTAAGAAATGTCTTGCCAATAACAACTGCTAAAGTGCCAATTGTCAAGTTTTTCCATGTGAGAAGTGGTCTTGAAGTAGACATCAGTTTATATAACACACTGGTAAGATCACGATTATAAATCATCTGTTCCAGTTAGATTTTTAGGTTCTAATTCTCCATTTGACTCTTTTTGGTTAAGTCAAAGGAGGCAGAGCAGACATTTTCTGCTATGAGGATATGCTAATTGTAAATTTGGTTATTTCGTAGCAAATGTAAGTGTTTTGGGGTATCTTGATCCTTTTGTAGGATTTGCAGGTAAAGAGCAACATCTTGAGCAGTGACAAGATCATCGCTGCATGTGTTAAGTGTCGTGATTGTCAAAGATTCTAATCTGGCCACACAAGCATTTTCATAATTTTTAGGGGTTTAAGGCCTGGATTATGAAAAGCCCCTGGTGCTGCTTTCACTGGGACTTTGAGAATAGTTCCAAATCCAACTTGCCAGACTTGCTACGTTCTCCATGGAAGCACAATTTACATCTCAAGTACTTTATCAAATATATTAAAAAAACATTTTTAATCGGTGACTCTAGACCAGGGGTTGGGAACCTATGGCCAGGAGGCCAGAGGAGGCCTTTACCTTGCCTGAATCCAGCCCCTGAGGCTCAGGGCTCCTCTCCACACTGGCTCTCCTTTCCCCTCACCGTACTACTGTGGGTCAGGAGCACACAAAATCTACTAGCCTGGGACCCCTTAGGCTCTGTTGTGTGAGGGGAATGTGGGGAGTGTCTCTTTCCTTCTCAGTCAGGGGCCACATCAGTGAGGATTTGGGGGTTTTTTTGTGTGGTTTTTTTGTGTTTGTTTTTTTGCTTCCCATCTGTGTGTGGCCCCTGACTGATTTTTCTGTGGGTCATCAGTCGGTCTCTGACCCCAAAAAAGGTTCCACACCCCAGCTCTAGACTTCAAAAGCAAATTCATTGAGACATCAAGTAAAAGTAAGTTTTCATGCCAAGCAGTAGAAAACTTTCTTAAGTCTCCTGTATCAGCAGAAGGAAGGTATTTTCAATGCTGGGTATGAAAGTCTATTTTTCAGGTTGGTAATGCTTACATTTCTGGGATGAAAAATTGTGAGTTGAGGAACTACCCCAGAATTTATGCTCTACCACATGACTTGGAAATATTATACTAGGTTCATGCTTCATTATTCTGAGGTATCCTTTGGATGCTTCTGCGTATTGTTTGTGAACAGACGAAAGTTAAGAATCTTTTTAAGTACCTTGCTCCAGAGAAGGTAAAAACCCGATTCTGACTAACACTTTCTTTCTGAAGTGCAGAACTAGATATATGGGCTTGCTGAGCTCATACTAGCTACAGTTTTTGCCTTTGAACTCAGTGCACATAACAGTTTAACTTGTAAATAAGTGAAAGAGCACACAAACACACAGATATACAAGCCTTTCCGACCAAGTGACTTGTGAATCATTCTAGAATTCTGCTCCTCCCAAGTAAATTGGTCATTTTCAAAGCCTCCTTGATCATAGGCTTTAGCTAACTACCACTTTTTCCATCTCACTCTTTGTTACCCATACTTGTTGCCTGCCTTCTTTAATTACAGGCACTGCATAACACAAGACTGTTGTCCTCTTATGGAGCCATTGATCCCAGAGTAAAATATCTGTGTTACACAATGAAAGTCTTTACAAAAGTAAGTAACATAACAGGCATGCTGGAAGTGATAACACTCACAGTATAAAGTGTAATAATTAGCTTTTTTCTTTCCAGATGTGTGACATTGGAGATGCATCTAGAGGTAGCTTGTCATCCTATGCATATACTCTTATGGTGCTTTATTTTCTTCAGCAGCGAAAACCACCTGTCATTCCTGTTCTCCAAGAGGTACAGTGTATCAAGAAATAAACTGATAACCAGTTAGACTTTTTTGGTGCACTCTTGACAAAAATAGTGATCAAAATCATCAAGTCTGAATAGCCATGCTCTAACTAGTTGTCATTCTGTTCTTAGATCTATAAGGAGCCAAAGAAGCCTGAAATTTTAGTTGATGGTTGGAATATTTATTTCTTTGACAAAGTAGATGAGTTGGTGAGTCTTATATGTTCACTTTTCTGATATAGCATTATCGTGCAATAACTCTGTAAAGTGAAACTAATGTCTGGTGAGGCAGGTATTAGAAATATACAATCATTGTAAAAGGTAGTTACTAACAATGACATTTGCTAATATGTTTTACACGTGGACTGAAAAAGAGAACTTATCATTTAGTTACAGTAACAGCCCTTTTATCCAACATTTCACCAACCAGCAAGCTCGAAAAAGCGGCATTTCTGATCTGCACAGTATATAGTCCAGTATATAGGGTGGTTGGTGCAGGGCTGAGATGGGAAGGGTGGTACACATTATTTTTGAGTCTGGGATGGGGTTTGGGTAAGGGAATAGAAAGGGGTTGGGATGGTGGATTGGGAGGAGACGGAGACGCTGCTCTCTGGCAGCCCCCACAAGCAGCTCCCTGAGCACTGACTCTGTGGCTTCCAGCCCAATGTCTGGGATCCACAGCCAATAGGAATTACAGGCTGCAGTACCTGCAGAGGGAGGCAGTGTGCCAACTTGCAGGAGAGCCACCTAACTGCACTTCTTCCAGGAGCAGCAGTGATGGGGAGCTGTTTATGGGAATTGCTGGAGGTGAGCGCCAACCCCATCCAGCACCCTGAGCTTCTCCTGTGCCCCTGCCCCAGACGTCAAACCCCTGCTTCTTAGTTAACCAGCATTTTCAGTTTATCAGAACTCCAATTTTCTCAGCATTCTGGATAAAATGGCTTTTAAATGTCAGGCATTATTGGATACAGCTGTGCCAGTCTTTACAATTGGAATTACACATCTTTATGAAGTGATGCTTCAACACCTTTCTTTAGTAATCTAAACATGTTTAGAATTATGCTTAAAATATTCTTAAAAGAATATTCTAAATGTTTTTTGGCTGTTAAATGAAGCCAAATATTGTTATAACACCACATGCTTTTGGACATGATATTTTGTTTGGAAGAGAAAGAGTAACATTACCCAAGCCAAGCACGGAACTTTGTAAAAGGGCATGGCAAGAAATTTTTTAGTAGATCTGTAGATACTCACATTTATTGCCTTAGCCTAAATATATATTAGAAAATCTATTGTATTTTTTTTAATATCTAATTTCATTAAAACAGTCAAAGATGGGATTTCCTAGGCAGAATAGGACATAAAGGCATTCACTTAAAATTATTTGTGTGATAATCTCAATTTTATGCTATCAAGCTACCATAACATAGTTGGTTGTATGCAGTACAAGAGACCATTGCACCAGTGACTAATTTTTTTTCAAAACCTGAATGCTTTGCATCCAACAGTAATCATATCAGGTTTGTAAAAGAATAATTGCTGATGTGCCATACTACTGCTTTCTTCCCCACCTGAGGTTAGGTGACATAACTCTTCAGTGGAATCACTTTATGTTGAAGGGATACCTGGTCTAAATGTAAATTAACAAAACATTTAGCAATTTTGGCTATCATCAAAAATAAACAGTAAAAATTGTTTTTAAAAAAAAAAGCAAATCTTAACACTAAAAATGCTCACCAACTCTATTTACACAACAAAATTTGATTATGAATATTAACCTTCAAACTATAAAAGGACGGAAAATAATTTAGATTAACTCTAAACCACACTAGTATATAAAAACAATTGTGTAGTTTAATCATCCCAAATTATGAATGTTCATTTGGTTAATCTGTCTGAATTGCTGAATATCAGAACAAGAAATATTTTTCTCCAACTTTCAGCAAGCCTGTTGGCCAGACTACGGTTCAAACACGGAATCTGTTGGGGAGCTATGGCTGGGACTTCTACGCTTCTACACAGAAGAATTTGATTTCAAAGAACATGTTATCTGTATCAGAAGAAAAAATCTGCTTACAACTTTCAAGAAGCAGTGGACCTCCAAATATATTGTTATTGAAGGTATTATAAGGGTTAATACAGAGCTGATTATTGTATGGAATTGCTTTAAAACCTATTTGATAAATCTGCTCTTCTCGCATGTTTCATTTTCATACTGCTGGATTAGGATCTCCTCCTCCTAAATATATTGAGTGAAATCCTGACTCTTCAGAAGGTAGGGGCAACCTTCCCCTCTCCTCCATTGACTTCAGTAGGTTCCGAATTTAGATCTTAGTTTTCAACTGAAATTAAGTTGAAAAGCAATTTTTATGTTTTGTTTTGTTGCAGAACAGATCACTGTGTAATGAGGATCATTTTTGTTTGAGGACTATCAGAATCGCTAAGAAAACTGGAATTCTATCCGTAGTCTCTTACTCTGTAGTCTTTTCTCTGGTTCTTCAGAATTTGTCTGAATTTTAGCTTGCTTTTCTACTTCAGCTCTACTGTTCTTATATTACTTCTGTGGAAAATAGTGACTGTCTACAATAGCTTTTGTATAGCACTCTGCAGAATGTTGTAACAGTGCAATGTATTATGTTTTAAATCAGTTCCTTTTTGTTAGAAGACCCAAACCCTAATCCAGCAAAATATATAAATATATGCTTAGTTTTCATGTACATTAGTAATCCCTCTGAGGTATAATTTAGTTTAAATTCACCGAATAGTTAAGTACAGTGTTGCATCTTGTCAATACAGGCAGTCCCCGGGTTACGCGGATCCGACTTATGTCGGATCCGTACTTACGAACGGGGTGTCCTCGGCAGCGAGAAAAGCTGCTCCGCATCTCCCTGGTCTGCTGGGGGCAGCCCCCCAGCTACATTAGTAATCCCTCTGAGGTATAATTTAGTTTAAATTCACCGAATAGTTAAGTACAGTGTTGCATCTTGTCAATACAGGCAGTCCCCGGGTTACGCGGATCCGACTTATGTCGGATCCGTACTTACGAACGGGGTGTCCTCGGCAGCGAGAAAAGCTGCTCCGCATCTCCCTGGTCTGCTGGGGGCAGCCCCCCAGCAGACCAGGGAGATGCGGAGCAAAGCCACGGAGGATGC